CCGGGCCACAGGCACTGATGGGGCCGTTCGCCAGTGTGGGTGCGCTTGTGCTCGACCAGACATTTGTTGACATTCGTCGAGAAGTGACAGTCACTCCAATCGCAGGCAAACCTCTTGAGGGCGTTGTGTTCTCTGCACTTATGGGCCGCCAGTTTGGCGCCGTTGGAGAAGCATTGGTCGCATTCATCGCATTTGAATTTCTTGATCTTCAGGTGCATCAGCGCGTGATGTCTGGCCAGTAGTGTACGCGACCAGAACTGTCGCGAACAGCCACTCCACGAGCATTTGTAAAACTTGAAGCCGTGGTCGACGCCTATATGCACCTCCAGGTCGTACTTCTTGACGAACTGCGCGCTACAGCCGGGGATCATACAGTTGTGGCGCGCGATCTTCAGGTGCACCGCATTGTAGTGCTGTTTGCGCAGCGATGGCAACGCGAACCACTGGTCGCAGTCATGCCATTCGCACTGGTATTCCTTATTCTTGTTCTTACGCTTGAAGTAACTCTCCTCTTGAGGGCCGGGAGTGCCGGGAGTGCCCGCTTGGGCGCCACCACTGCCGCTGTCCGTCGACTCAATGCCCAGATGTTTGTCCATATGCTTCTTGAAGGCGTCCGGCGATATGAACCGCTTCTTGCAGTACAGGTGCTGGCAATGGATGTAATGCTGTTCACGCTTTTGATGAGTCCTCTGGTGATTATTCCGTTGTTTGCCGGACGCGAAGACTCGCCCGCATTCACGACACGGGAACTGTTTGGGGACTCCCGGCATATAATCGTAGCTATAGTTCACGTTATTTAGGTATTGGTCTAAAACACGTCCAGTGGTCACACTCTTGGCATCAGTTGATGCCGTGGCTGTTGTCGACTCGTTTGACCCGATTATCACTAAACGAGTCGTTTGGTCACCGATTATGGGAACCAATGTTTGCTTGGCGTTCAGTACCATCAACGGCGAGGTTTGACCACAACTCTCGACACTGTCTTCATTAGTATCTTCGGCTTTGCATTCATTTGTATCACACGTCTTGCGGTTAGTGTCCACAGTGTGACCACCGATTGGATGTATGTCTTCGTGCGTACCCTTCCTCTTGATTGCATGCAATTTGTCCAACAGTTTGAAGATGTCTTCCTTCTGAACGGTTTTGATGATTGAGTCACAAATGCATTCATTGATGAAAGCCATGAGTTTGTCTTCAATGGAGTCCAACAGCGACTGACACTCCAAGAAGTCATACCTCAAGACATTGTATTTATGCAACAGTTGTTTGTACTCTTCATTATCACTGACACAATAGCTGTGGTCAATGCCACTGGTGTTCACCTCTATCTCGGGCACCACCACCTCAACCATCACCTGCTCGTCCACTACTGTGGCCATCGTCTCGCCAATTGATCCCCGATTTGTGGCAACTCTTCAGACAAAACCAAATCCAAAGTTTCAGTCGTTTTGTTGTTTT